ACCTAGTATGCCCATTCTTATGTTCTTATCCCCCTTTCCTGGTTTTGCTTCTGTGGTCAAATCATCTCATTCAGCTATGTCTAAAACAAGTCCAGTTAAGCAACCTTGTGAGCAAGTAGGGACAATTTGATTGTAAGCAAGCTTCTATACTGACCACTATTTTAACTAACAACAAATAGTGCAGATGTAAACTGGTGTAGTTTTGAGTGTCTGGGTACAAGGATGATGGGAACACTAGAAGTGCATCAAGATAATTAATGCATAGTTTCTGAACCCATTTAATTTAAAATGAGTACAGTGGAAGTCACTTGTATTGCACAATCAACGTATGAGATTATTGTGCCAGTCACTTACTTTGGACACAGTGGGTAGGCATTCATGCATAATGGAGAAATCATTGTCCCTACTCCACAATGTAGCAGTAGGGAGCTGCACAAATTCCCTGTGGCGGTGTGCTATATGAGTCTTCATTCACAGCACACTGCAGGGTGTGAGGCAGAGGGTTGGCATATGGTTGGTGAACCTGCAACAATGTAAACCCTCCAAATATAAACCTACCACCATGTTGTGAGTGGAGGGCAGGGCTGCAGCAGACACCACGACAGCTACATAAATAATGGGAACAGCTCTTTTGGTGTTTCTGTAACCTTCGGAGGGAGGATTCCTTCCCCAGGGAGCACTCAAGCCAGATGACTTGGGTTTGAGTAGCAGGAGACAAGATTTGGCCCTAAAAATTCCTTTAATACCTTCACAGCTCAAATTAGGTACAAGAGAGAATTACTGTTGATGACATACAATTCAGGGGCCAACCAAGGACCCTAATCCAATTAGGGCAAGAAATTCTATGCTACTAAAGCAGATGATCAGTGCACAAAAAAGAGTAAAAAAGAGGATCTTTAACAGGTTTGCATAAAGACTTGCTATAAGTATTTGCCATTGAGAATCATTATTCCACTGCATAATGAAAAACCTACAACTAACAAGACTATAAGATTAATGGCTACAAATATGCACTAACTATATTTAAAACTTTGGGAATTGTTTTGTTTTGCAAAACCAAAATGCAACATATGCAGTTCTAAATGTTTGTGTATTAAATGGTGTATTTTCGATAAAAACTCAAACAAGTAAAACTATCTTTACTATTGAAGTGGAATACTAACCATAATACTGGAAGGTCTCTTCGCAGTGAAGTCTTTCAAATTAATTCTAAAAATAGAATAAAATATTCAAACTCAAACTTAATTCAAAATTAAAATAAAATCTTCCTCAGTTGTGAGTGTAGGCTCACAAATTCTAAAATACTCAGTGCATTCTGATGTAGGAACCAGAGTCCACAGCAGAAGAGAATATTTAATTTTAAAAAATGTGAGAAGGTTCGTGAAATGTGTGCTAGAAATAGAAAATAAGATTAGAGGTTATGTTTCAGACATGGAGCCTTCTCTGGTCTCTAGGGGGGAAAAAATAGAACAAGGTTGCTTCAAGGTCTGTAGCCTGAGGGAGGAAGGGGGAAAAGGCACTAATAAGGGCTAAACTGAAGGGTAGTTGGGGAATTAAAAATAAATAAATGGATTACTCTTCTTGTATGTTGTATCCCCTTTCCTCCCATCATTTGTTGGTGTTTGTCTTGTCATGTTGTAAGTTTTCCTGAGAAGAAACCTGTCTATGCATTTGTATGGTGGATGCAGTTGTGATTGGACTCTTTGGTTGCTACTGCAAAACTAATCATCCTTGTAGCTAAAAGGTTACTTTTGAAAAATCTAATTTTATTTAACAATTTAAAAATACAGTTTAGGCCAGATCTGTATACTTGAAACTTGTGCCAGTATCGTAATGTCACTTCAGGGATGTGGTGTGTGTCTGACATTTTTATACTGGCAAAGCCCTACGGTAGACACAGTTTTACTGGCAAAAAAGTGCTTTTGCCAATATAGCTTATTTCATTTGGGGGGAATGGTATAAGCTGTTGCGGCAGAAGCACGTTTTTGCCTGTATAAACTGTGCTTACACGAGGAGGGTTTGTTGGAATAGCTCTATCAGCAAATATTTTCTATTGTAGACCTGGCCTTAAATGCTGACAAAGCATTGTTTTTAAAATGTACTTGATATGTCAGCTGGTATCAGATAAAGGAGGCTACGAAGAAATATTAATAATCTTGTTAACATTCCAATATTCATTAACAGAGCTACCACAAAACTTGGCTAATTAGATATACAGGCCTACTCTTCTGTTGGTGTGCATGCATAGGTCCTAGTAACATTGGAGTTATGTGTTTATAGATCTTAGTTTTCAGCAAGCTCTGATAAATAATAATGTTAAGCTTTCAGAATATTCAGTCTTTGGTACAGTCACTTGTCTCTAATCAACAGACCCCATCTTGTTAGGTAGATTACTAAATCTATTTATTAAAAGTTGATCTTTTAAGGTGTAACATAGCAGCAGCAGTATCTTGTGGCTTCTACTGGGGGAAAACTTAAAGTTACACAACTGGAGTCAGAAATGAAGGTTTAAAAGCAACACGAGGACAGATCATCCCTTCCTTGATCTGCTTGTGGTTCGCCTCCATGATACCATCAGTGCCCCTCCACCAACAGGGTCTGATGAAGCCCTCTCTTTGTGGGCCCAAGATTGCACTTTTGGGAGGGATAGAGGCTGGATGGACTGGGAGAAGTGGGTGGGGTGGGGGGGGGGGAAGGAAGTGTTCACACTGTGGCCCTTCAGAACTTAAACTCTGGTTGTATTGCCTTTTCTGTCTAGCCCCTGCCATGGTCTCAGGGAGCTGCAACAGCAAGGGGTGTCCTTATAATGGTGCCAATGGATCAGCTGAGCCAGAGTGTGGGAAGGAAGCCTCTCCGGGGGGGAGGTGTCACTGGGGTAATGGGTGGGGGCATAGGGCCTCCTTCCTGATCCCTTGGGCTACCTACAGATTCTCTTGGGATTGGCTATTGTGGGGGATGGATTTTCTGTGGGCAAACTTCTCCCCACCCCGACAGGACAAGAGATTACCCTTGTTGGGAGTATCCTTGCAGAGATTTCCTCCTAAGGAGACCCCCGATAGTTTTATTTAAATTAATTTTTCTTTCCACCGATATTGTGACATTTCTTGCTATAATTTTTTGTCCCAATATGTTTTGATATGGGGCTAAGATTACATATAATTGTTTGAATTGTTCATACTAGATGTTTAAATTAGCACACCAAATGATCAAAGGCTTTTCTTTGGAAAGATCAAAAGTACAAAAACAAAACCCAATAACTACTGTTGTCCCACAGGTATAAATCTTCAACAGGCCATGTTAGGCCCTCATTTACAACTAGGCAATCTTGTTATTTTGCACAAATGTACTAATAGGAATTTAAAAGCAGTTATGTTAACCAACCAAAAGAATGGAATTGAGCATGTTCTCTTATGGCCTTGTTGACTTTGACAGACTAACAGGAATAAAAAAACAGTATAAATTTGGTTTTGTCACTAAAGTTAGCTGTGTGAATATGCAGAGGGAACAGATCTGTTGGGTAAGATAATGCCACTTACTGGTAATCACTTTTCAGAGTATAACCATCCTATCAGATCTGTTTCTGTAGATAAAGCCTTGTTTATATACTCATTTGCCATATATGTATTAACTGTTTTCATTATTTGTGATGTTAGTAAGATTTTTGCCAAACTGTTATTACTTTCAGATACAGCAAACTGCTACTTCTGTAAATTAATATAGGTAGCTGTCTTCATATTTTGTAATATAATAGTAAATATTTATAGAGTTCTTCAGAGGGCAAACAAAAAAGACTACTTTCAAGAATGCTGATTTTTAACTCTTAAACAAACCTACCCCAACACATTAGCACTTATATAAGTGACATTTTAATGATTGCTGTATGTCTTTCCATACCCAGTACTTTATGCAGTAGCTTAACACCTTAAGCTAGAAAAGTTATGCATGCTGCTTAGATATGTCAGCTGAATTCCATGTATGCTTTTGTAAGCAAACAGCTGTTATAATAAGTACTGTACTTTCAAATCCTTCATATTCTTTACGGGGTTCTGTGCTAATTATGGAAAATGAGAATTATTTTTCTAAAGTGGGACTTTAGTTTTTTATAAAGCTCACTATGTTTTGTTGTGAAATAAATATTGTTTTCCTGCTTCTCTGAAAATTGCAATGGTCTCTAAACAAATCAGTCATTATCTTTTTAATATTAACAATGTTTAACTTGTGTTTAATCTCAAAGTAAGTTAAATTAAAATTATAAAGGACATGTAAACAAAGTCCACCCAAAAAAGAAAATGTATTAAATTCCTAAAAACACAATATATGTATTACAATTATGTAAATATAGAAATAAATGTAAAAGAATCCCCCAACACTCATAACTCAGTGTGTGTAACTTCATATTTATATTGTTTAAAGTTGACATTGGTGCAACTTCGTGCACATACTGTGCGGGCACAGGATAACAAATTAATGCCATGGTGTAAAATAGGGAACAGTATTACTGAAGCTATTAATAGAAGGCACTACTTATTGAAGTCTCACAGATTTAATCTATTACACTTCTGGGAAACGTGGAATGAAGCTCACTGGAAAAGAGTCTTGCCAAAGAAGGTTTAGGGAGCCTCTTGTTCTACAACACTTATCTTTTATTCTCTTTTGTTCGTTATACCATTAATTGTGTTTGTAGGAATTTGAGCATCTCTAGCAAGAATATTTTAGTTATCTGCAGGAAAGCAAGGAGAGGGATTAGATGAGCACAAAGCATTGGGTTTTTTTGTGGGAGAGGGATTATGGTCTTGCAAAATAGTACTACATTGGTGACTGTGCACTTCTCATTTTTGTTGTGTTCTTAAATAGTTAGAATCTGGGCTCAAAATTTGATTTAAATGTTATAAATTAATGTGCAATGTCCTCCATAATACTGGAGTGGCTTTTATGTGGGTTTAAATAATACTTGCTTTTTAAAATCACACTGCTTGTGACACTTTCTTTTTATATCCTAGTTCTTAATGAGGAGAGCAGCGCTATGTTGAGGAGGAGCAAGGAGCTTTTTTGTAATGAAAAATGAGGAATGCTTGTGAGGTATGCATACTACTATTTTAAGGGGTTTAATCTCTGAAATCTCAGGCTTCTGTGTCACCCAATAGTACCTTCATCAGCTGTTGAAGTCCATTTTAGATACTTCATTAACATAATGAAACTAGCAGATTATGTCCTGAATGTGAGGACAGCAATAAAACACTGTATTGATTATTCTAAAATATGGCCTGTCATAAAAACTTAGTTCAAATAATTGTTTGAAATCTTAGCTAACCAAATTACAGAGTAGCCTATCAATTACCGCTCTTTATGAACTTGCCAGTTGCAGTAATTTTATATCATGAGTTTGAGGTGCCTGTGGAAACTATAGTGTTTGCTGCTTCTATATCAAAATCAGCTCATATTTGCACTGGACTGCTTTGGTTTATTCATATATCGTAATGACTATGAATCAATACAGCCATCCTTACATCTTACAATGACAGAATTTCCTACTGACTTCAGGGACCAAAGCCGGTAAATGTAATGTTCAAAAGTAATATGTAAAAATACACTTCTCATTCGTTTTAATTTTTCACTATTACATCTTTCTGCTAATTCCATAATTTTCAACATAAGAGATGAAGGGCCTAATCACCATGTCCCTATCTTTCCTACATAGAACATGGCTTGCTTTCCTGGGCAAAGCTCCAACAGTTCACTGGTGAATCTATTGCTATTCAAATAGAGTAAGCCTATAAACCATTTGAAAGTCTGCTTGTCAAAACAAGAGTTGTGGCATGGAGACATGAATTTCTATATTAGCTTGACAAGAAAAAGCTCATGTTTCACAACTGTCATGAGGCCTTTGGCCAACATATGTGCCGAGGTCAGCATTGTCCTGATATGATGTTTTCCTCTTTTTATTTTTAGAACTCAAAAGAATACATGCTATTTCAGAGTACAGAACTCTTATTTAGATAACCATAAGAAATATCTCTTGGAAACAAGAGGGCCTGGATACTGGATTTTTTTTTTTTTTTTTTTTAAAGAGGGGAAATAGTGGGGAGGTGATAATATCAAAGTAAGCAGACACTATAAACTCTGTTACAAGGAATGAGAATTCTGGATCGAGCTTAGTCTTTTCCTGGTACATTAGTGTTACTTAATTTTGTTTAATATCCAAAAGTAGAGTGAATAATTTATACATGGAAATATTTGGCAGCTATAGCTATTTAATTTGTACATACACACACCAGAAATAACACTGTTTAAAGAAAAATCATATTTGTAATTTTTCACTGGGATGCAGTGCAGTCTAAAGAGAATGTGGAAGATACAATCTTAAGCAGCATTACAATGAAATCACAGAAGAAACATATATTTGTGGAAAAAATTATGTGGGTATTGAGTTGCACTTGTATGTTGAGACAGATTCTTCTCTGCTACTCTTATTGTTGCAAACATCTAAGAAGGGCATTCCTCTTATTAGTCTTGTAGGTACTTTAATATTCAGGGCTTGCTGTGTGCCATCTATCTTCCATACTTGTAGTGTTCATCTATATTACATAAAATCTCTCTCCAGCCACTCACTGAAGAGTTTTAAATGGCTAACTGAATTAAGATAGTTTATATTCAGTTCATTGTTTCAATGTATTACTGACTAAAGTCGTGTCTATTAATCCTTTTATGTAATAGAAATAAGATCTAAAAGGTATAACAAAACCAAACTCATTAAAGGAGAGCCTGACTTCTAAAGGTCACGTCTATTATAAAACATGCCATGGGAATGCACTAACTAAAGTCAGTCTATCTAAAAATATGGCTTAGAGATTTAGCAACCGTTTCAATAGAAGTGCTCACTCAGATGTGTATAACCACATAAAAATAATGTAAACAACTATTTAATCTATATTTATGAAAATTAATTTCAATGCTTTCTAGAAAAATCCACTTAAATATATTAAAAAGTGTTTTTAATTTATAAGGGGGGAGTCGCATTCAGAGGTTTGCTATGTGAAAGAAAAAGTTTGAGAGCCACTGACCTAAATAGTAAACCTGTTAAAGTGCTTTCTTTGACCTCAGATACTCTACCATGATTCCCAGTGTTCAGAATTGGAACTTTCTGCTTTGATATATATCACAAAGTAAGGCTACACTGTCTCACTATCCATATAATCACTTTCCACAAATTAATAACACTAAATTGATTCCATAGAGACTTTGGTATCAGAATCTTATGCATTGTCACTTTCCCTGCATAATATAATCTTAACCCAGATTCTCAGATCTATATGAGTTTGTGTCAAAGTATAAAATGATGATGAATTAAATTTCTGTGGAGCAGCTTCAGGTTTGCATGTAATCTGTACAACTTTCTAAATATCCTTAAATAAGTCATCTTTGTTCAGTAAATACAGTTTTCCTCATAGGAAGTGATCCTATCCTAAGGCTTTTCATATAATGAAGTGATTGAGGCAACTCCAGAGTGTGCTGGAACACTTCTAAGGACCAACTTCTGTGACCCTTACTCCTGTAGAAGAACAATTCACTCTACAAGTAGTCCCATTAAACCATTTTCTTAAATGGGACTAGTTGTAGAGTATCGTGTTTGAGCATGGTTATCAAAAACCAGCCCTTAGTAAAGTCAGCGCAGCAGTCAGAAATCATAAGTAGCTTTGCAGAACTTTTTTTGCTTAGACTAAGGGCTTGTCTACATTTCCCCGCAGACTATGGGGTATGAACTGCAGCACACACTGAAGTATTGTGCTGTAACTGCCCTTGCTAGCACAAACTAAAAGGTTCATAGTTTGTTATAGGATTACATTAATGTGAACTAGTTACCCTTTAGTTTGTGCTAGCAAGGTCTACACAGGGCAGTTACAACAGTACATCAGTGTGTGCTGCAGTTCCTACCCCTGTAGGCTGGCACTGCATGGTCATGAAGACAAGCCCTTAGTTCCAGTGCTGCTAAGGCTCAGGGTAATTGCTTTCTCACATTTTTCTATGTTTATATAAGGCAACAGGACTGACTGCTTACAATAGTACTTGAATTTGGTTGTTTGACCCACAACCCTCTCCTTTTCTTGCCTTTCATTTCCTGAAGCCTTTGCACCAAATATAGGGTTTCATAATTAACAAAATGAGAGAAAAAGTTGAGGCTTTGGTGTTGTTTGCTCTCGGTCATATTTTGATCTTAGAAGGGACAAACAATCCTGGACCTTCCTGTTTCCTGGACTGGAGAAATTCAGTATTGAGAAGAGAAGATGGAGAACAATCTAGCATCAGATAGACTCTTATCATGGGTGCTTTAACAATTTGTATAGTGGGGGTGCTGAGAGCCATTGACCCAAACTGTAAAACTCTGTACGTGATGGAAACCACTTCAAGCCAGAGGGTACTGCAGCATCCCCAACACACCTAGTTCCAGCACCTATGTCTCTTATTGTGAGTTCACTAGTTTCCACAATTTGCTGCCTGTGGGGCTGGGTTTAAATGGAAATTGTTTTGAAAGGAAGTGGTTTTGTGACTCTGGTACAGGAGGGGGGGCTCTCTGGCATCTTTTCAGTTAGAAAATAGTCTGATTTTTGGGGTGGAAATGTTCAATGAAAAGTAGAATAAGCTGGTCAGGTATACTTAATTTCTTTATTAAATTTGTAAGTTAGTACTTTGCAGTTGGTGGTTCTGTCATGCTATAGCCAAAACTGGATGAATACTTATGGTTCAACCCTGCTAAATCAGTTATGTTTGGACTGTTGTTAAGGGAGTCCATGGATTCCATGACTTTTCAGTGTTAGATTAACTGAATTAGACATTTTGATGATTTTTGTGGTTTGATGTGATAGGTTGTTCAATTGTTTACCATCTTGAGAGCAGTAAAGTTAAACCATGAGAGTCTAGAGGAGAGCAGGAGCCACATGAAAGCACCTAAATACCATGGTGATGGGTGCCAAATGAATGCTTGTAGTAGTAGTAAAACTTTATGAATTTTCTTCTTCTGAAGCATCAGCAGAGTTAGGCCAATAGTGTTTCTTTTTAGGGCAGCTCCGCTATTCTTAGTTGTGAGCAATTACCACAGCAAATACCCTGTTCTTATTGGCAAAACGTTTTTTGTTGAAAACATTTTAAAAATAAGGGTTCTTTTTCCCCTCTTCCTTCAGCCATTAATGGAGGACATACTATTACTAGTGCTTCATCAGGAACCTATCTATTCAGTTTAAGTGTAATGGATTAGTTGATCTTTTATGTATGGAAAAAGTGTAATAAGTTAGTCATGAATACTAATGCCTTCCAGATGTTACTTTGTAATCTATTGTTTCATACAAGCAGTTACTTTAAGCAAAATAAATATGAAAGAAGAAACTCAATTTCTAGATGCATGTTACGCACTGTATCACAGATAACAGGCGGTGGTTTGTTTTAAGATGCTTTGATAAGGGCACTAGGTACTTACTTTTGCTCATATTGCCAAATTAAACAAAGTATCTGTAAAGTGCTGCCTCTAAAGCTATCATGGTATGATAGCTTGAAAGTACTGCAGTATTTCAGAAGCTAACTGCTGAACAAACTACTTAGTAATGGCTTTCAATGGACTAGATTAATTCTCAAGTTATGGAGAAGACTCCTACAAAGTGTCTGGTCTTTCTCCATCCTCCCCCACCAAAATCCTGAAGCTTCTATTGATAGCAGCTTTTCAGGGCAGTGTCTTGTGTCTGATCTATTACCTCTGATCAATATTATAAAACAAATATCAGATAGCCAAAGTAAAATCATTAGCACAAAGGAGTTAATATTGGCTTGTTTTGGGAAGGTCACTTTAGAGATCCAACAAAGCTATTCCATCACCCAAGAACATTTAAAACCTAGCCATATCTTAGCAATAGTGATACTATGGTTTTGTCTGAACTAACCTTTTCCCCTTAATTTTCTATCACTGGCGAAGTTCTGTGAAGTAGAAGTCCTGGTTGGAGAGCTAGCATAGTAAATTCACTAAAACCCACTTGTAGTTTCTAGACCTTCATTTTTATATCTGTTGATATAAATTTGAAATATTTACAAATAAA